AAAAAAATTCAAGAAATTTTTTAAAACTTCTTTAATTTTAAGGCCCATTAGTATTTTTCAAAGTAGAAACAATACATTTATCAATAAAGTTGTTTGCGTTTAACTTTTTTGCCTTGGGTAACGAGTTACAGAGTTGGTTAAAGTGTTTCAATAATTATGATCTTCAAACATCCTCCACACTTAAATACTTTTGTTTTGTTTTCCTTTACCGCCATCTGGCATATGTATCTAACTAAATCATAAAAATAATATTTTTACTATAATTATCCCAATTTAGGATAAAACGTGACTTAGGCGCCATATTATTATAGTTTTGTATTTCTGTGAATTAGGATTTTAAACAACATTGCAGTTTGTACTAAATTAGGCTGCTAGCCAACGTAGATATCCAAAGTCGTTTCGACCCAAAAATTATTCTCCAAACTAGTGCAGACTAGGGTTGGCACGACCTTGTGCCGACGTTGCGCCCCGACGTTTGGTCGCGTGACACAACGTTGTCCCGATGTCCAAATGCTGCTTGGGTAATTTTAATATTGAAGGGAAATTAACCGAAACATCTCAGACACATTATCTAAGCTATTTCCGCGTAGTACCTTTTTGTCATGCTCACTTTTTCTTTATGTGTATAACAATAAATTATTAATAGTATTGAATATTAAAATTATGTTACGTTTGATAATGACGCTGGCAACTTAAGCTATGTCGGTTTTTGACTGGTGTTTGATTGTTACCTATTCAGTTTTAACTTAAAAATCGATTCATAATTCGAGTCTAAAATTGTTCAAATTTGGCATGTGTGTTTACCAAACGTAGATCTTAAAAAAATTATTTACGACTTTGCTATAAAATCAATAGGAGAGCCAAGATCTAGACAGTTCAAAATTTGCATGGTATTTCCTATGTTTCCAACGACCATGCACCACCCGGTAGAGAAAATATACGTACTTGCAGAAAAGCTTAGAAAATTATAACATTATTTAAATAACATACCTACTCAGAACAACATTAAATGTGATACAGATAATAAATATTCTTATTATGTGCAATTTCTGGAAGCTAAACATAAATGGATCATATATACATGTTATACAAATGTTTTAATTTTCTGCTCCCGAAATGTATAAACATAATACACATTTATCGAATTAACGTTCTATGAAAGCGTGTATTGTGAATGCAGGCTGAATATGTGTGGTGTTTAATCTACATCATTTATTTTTAAAATTCTTGCTTACATTCTGTGAACACGTAGGTATATTTGGATTTAAATTGGAAACATCTTGTTTATACATATTAACAATGATGTTTATAAGATCTGGAGAATTGGTTTAGAAAATCAGAGATTTTATATTTTACGAAATACTACAATAGTTTGTCGATAATTTATAATTAATACAGAAAAAAAGATAATACCTAATATTATTTTTAATAAAACTTGAATGGAATTTATACCGAGAAAACAATAAATGTATTTTCGGATCGTCCTGTTTCTGAGTCTGGTCCTAAACCTGCGCCATTTCATACTGTGGATAAAGGGATTTATTTGTGACATTTAAATTTGACTTCATTCTATGCGTATTGCGCATTCACACTATTACACATTACCACAATATTAAATTAATTAAATTAGTTTTGAAAGAAAATAGATAATTAAACTTTTTCCTTTTTCATTTCATTTTTTATTTTACTTGTTTTTTGTTTCGATATTTTGTTTGTATATTTTATTTACTTATTACTTATAAAAATCTAGATTTATTTATACAGGGCGAGTCAAAAATAAGTGCAAATATTTTCAGCGCTCTGTTACCGCTATTACCAAGTTATTTTACTTTGAAAATAAAAAAAAAACATATGATTTTTTGTTAAATTTTGAGAACCACTGGATGTTTTCTGGGTTTTCTTTTTTGTAAATTTAATCTACTAACTATGTTGCCATATTATCAAGATATGTTTAAAAAAAAATCAAAAAATTCCAAATTATTAAAACATTTTTTTTCCAAAAAAAAACTCAGATCAGTTCTAAGGTCGAAATATACACCTTCAAAAAAATTTTGCACCTATTTAAGACTCACCCTGTATATCAAAATATCATACATGAGGGTAAATAACAGTTATTTACCTTATATAGTTTTGTTTATATCTAGTTACTAGATATAAACAAACGAAGCTAAATCGAAAAATGTGATAGAATAATATTAAGAGTGCGTGTATTTTTTTATTTTGTGAATTTTTTAACATTTGTTTTTAGAATTTGATTGACGCTTTCTGGGATGTAGAATGTTAATAACCGCGACCTTACAGATCTATTGTGTGTTCCCCCTTATTGAGTTGTAACGAGTTATGACTCATCATACAGTCTCAGGGCTTTAACAAAAGTCAGTATCTGAGACGGCTCCACAGAGACCAGCTCTCCATCCTCGACATCAGCCGTATCAAAGTTCATGGCACGAACGGTCGTCGTCTCGGCGCACTCAGTGATAAGGTGTTCCGGTGTTTCCCCATTTTCCCCACAGAATCTGCATTCGCCGTTTTTTCTCAGCTTCAGCCTACTGAGGTGTTCGTTGAGAAGACTGTGTCCTGTTAGAAACCCCGTGACAATCCGAAGATAAACAATCTTCGGATTTACTTCGGATTACTTAAATCAAGGAAAATCTTTGATTTTTCTCGGTCGTAAGTTCTGAGGAACTTTCTGGAGTGTCTTAGACCGTTGGAGGACACCCATTCCAGGTTACGGATGGAGTCTTCCAGGTTCTTCAGTTCTGCTTTAAGTTGGTTTCCACTTGAGAAGCAGAGCGGTTCTGGTCGGTGGAATGTTCGCTCCTTTTCTAGCTAGATCATTTGCTTTTTCTGTGCCTTCTATCCCTTGGTGAGCAGGCTCCAGAGTAAGAGGACTTTATTTCCTTTGCCTAATTTGTTGAGTTTCTCTAGGCAGTCTTTAATCAACCTCGAATTGATGATGACTGAGTTGATCGCGTTTAGTGCTGCTTGACTATCGGATAAGGTGGCTATTTCCTGTTTTCGATAGTTCCTATCTAAGATAAATTGTACGCATCTTTCGATAGCGTTGATTTCTGCCTGAAGGAGGCTGCCATTGATTCGGAGTATTTAGTTTTTGGCGTAAATACTCCTATCCCTGTCCCTGCTTTGGTTCATATATCCATTTCATTTTTTTATGCATATATTCATTTTCATCAGTATACCACGTTATGGTGTGGTCTTTTACATGCTGAGCAAACGTTTCTTCCTTCCAATCCTTTTTATTACTCAATACTACAGTGAGGTGTTTCTCAAAGTTGTACATCCTAGGTATGTCACCCACTGGGAGTTGAAGAAGTGGAATTTTCTTCTTGAGGATGTTTGGTTTGGTTTGGTTTGGCCCCTGACATGAAAATTCTCCCATTACTGTTTCCGTCAATGACCCTTCCAATTATTGTCGCATTAGCATAACTGCTGACGACAATGTGCAGTGGTGTTAGGTCTAGGATGACCTCCATTGCTGCTGTTGGTCATGTTTTCATGGTACCTGTGATGCACATGCATGCCAGTTTCTGTACTTTGCACAGATTTTGCCTTGCTGTACGTTGCTCTAGTTTTTAATGTGATAGAATTAAATTAATAGTGTGTATTTATTTATTTTTGTGAATTTTATAACATTTGTTTTTAGAATTTGATTGACGCTTTCTGGGATAGTAAAATAATATTCCGGGATCCGCGACAACTTACCTAAATCTGGGGTTTTACCGGAAATCTCGGACGTCTGAACATCCTAGACTAGTCTTCTTCTTCTTACGACGCCGTCTCCTTTCGAAGGTTGGCGATCCAAATAGCTAACGTCATTCTAGATACAGCCATACGAAATATGTCGATTGATGAGCAACCAAACCATCTACGAATGTCCTTTAGCCAGGAATTCTGGCGTCTGCCGATAGATCTTTTGCCCTGGACTTTGCCTTCAATTATTAATCTGAGAAGTTCATACTTTTTACCCCTCATTATGTGGCCTATGTAGCGTGTCTTTCTTTCTTTGATGGTAAGCATGAGTTCTTTCTGTTTTCTCATTCGATTAAGAACCTCCACATTTGAAACTCTTTGGACCCATGATATTCTTATTATACGGCGGTAAATATACATTTCGAAGGCATCTAGTTTTTTTTCTAACGATATGTCAAGAGTCCAACTCTCACACCCGTACAGGAGAACTGAAAAAATGTAGCATCTGACCATGCGTACCCGTAGCTCCAAACTCAAATCTGACCTTGTGAAAAATTGTCTCATATTTATAAATGTTTTTCTAGCCAGTTCTATGCGGCTTCTAATTTCTTTCTTCGGGTCGCATTGATCATTTACAATACACCCCAAATACTTGTATGAAGACACTTGCTCTACTGGGTCACCGTTGATATCCAGGTGAATCTGCACAGGTGTTTTGGTGAATGCAAGAACCTTCGCTTTTGTGGTATTTATGAGGAGACCGCAGTTTTCACTATGCCGAACTAATTCATTCATTAGCCTCTGCAAATCTTGTTCATTCTCGGCCAGCACAACTGTATCGTCGGCATACCTGATATTATTGATCGCTTTCCCGTTAATCTTAATTCCACATTCGATTCCTTCTAGAGCTTCTTTGAAGATAGCTTTTGAATATATATTAAATAAGAGCGGTGACAGCACACAGCCCTGTCTTACACCTCGTTTAATCGTGATTATAGTAAATATAGTCTGAGAATAAAAATTAAAGCTTCCTAAAATTTTAGCTATTTTAACTACTAAAAAACAAATGGACTTATGTAATGTAATGTATTCTTCACAGGGTTATGTTTTGTTGGATCTCCAGTAAGGTTTATACTTATTTTCTAGTCAATGTTTATTCTTCAGAATAAGGTATTCACTACGAGGGACTACTCATATAAAAAACGTATATAATTTTTTGATGTTCATAAAGTAATTTGCTGACATTATAACATTATTTCATAAAATTTATTTCTAGTGTTAATACTTACATACTTCACCAGGGTATTTGATAGGTGGCCTATCGTTAGGCAGTTTTCTGTCTTGGTCGATATAATGGGCCCCTCTCGGCAATTGCCCTTCTGAAAAAACAAGAGTTCTTATTTAATTTACATCTACTGCACTAAATGCAAGTGGCTAAATTAATTGGATTTCCCATTTGTTATTCTTGTTTAATTCTATTTTGGACATTTTTATTGGTCTTTTTATTGAATGAAAATGACTTTCGGCGCTGAAACAACCAACGTTTACGATTACGCATTTGCCTCTACTTTAATGAGTTACATAAAATTTGTCGATTCCTTTAGTTTATTTAAACACTTCTGATGACATTTAGCCGATTGCTTACAAGCCGGACAGTTTAATGGCATTAGTGTTTATTTTCAAATTGTGTTAAATGGCAGGGCTTTAATTGCAAATGTTATGTTTGTTTAATTTGTTTTTAAAAGATTGACAAATTTAGCAATATATTTTAAAAATTTATAATTATTAACTGAAATAAAGATTTATGAGAAGCATCGTTGTCATCTATAATTTTTTTTTGAGAAACTATGGAGCAACTGATACCAGTTGCTCCAGAGACTCTCACGACTCTACTTGGCCAGTAGGCAAGTACGCCAATACTGGAATACTTGGCAAGTATCTCCACTTTGTAAACAACATTAGCAAGTGTGGCGCTCACACGACGTGTCCATTTCATCAAGTACGCCAGCACAAATATTGTTTAAATCCTTGGCAAGTAAACAGTATAGTCGCATCCATGGATACCGGTCGTTCCGAAATTGTCGTTGCTAGTGAATTTTTTTCTTTTTAAGTTCTTTACTGTATACGACAATACGATTTCTATGTTCTTTATGATTGGCCATCCATATGAAGGGCTCATTTTCGTATAAATCCATAAATTCCGGTTAAAATTGGTTTGGTTTGGTTTTATAATTTTTTTTTAAATAATCATAAATTTTTCTGCGATAAAACGGCGATAAAACAGTTTATGTTCAACTTTAGGCACAAAAACTTTTCAAATTTATGATATCAGTCTAATAACATCAAGTCAACATGTTTAATTTATGTCAATGATGATAGGTATTGATAATTTCGATTCCAAATATCTCGAGAACCATTAGTCGTAGCGGTTTTTACCAAGAGATCTTTTTTACGTAAGAAATATCGTAAATTTATATTTTTTTACTCACTTGTTCAATACAGGTACGAACGAAAAGTTATTACTCTTCAAACCAGTTAAAAAATATGTACGTGGCGCCCTCTACAAGTAGGAGTCATATTGACATCAAAATCAAATTTCTCATGTCAAAAAACTCCCATACACCAATTTTTATCCAAATATTGATGTTCCTTCATGAATTGTTTAAAAAAAAATCGAAATAAATATGAAATTTGTACACCCGGTATCTCCGAAACTAAGCATTTCAGGACATACATTGATAAGAACTTTTTTACCTATTTTATTACTATATTTTTTACCTATTATATTTTTTTTACTCACTTGTTTTATACAGGTACGGACGAAAAGTTATTACTCTTCAAACCAGTTAAAAAATATATACGTGGCGCCCTCTACAAGTAGGAGTCATATTGACATCCAAATCAAATTTCTCATGTCAAAAAACTCCCATACACCAATTTTTATCCAAATATTGATGTTCCTTCATGAATTGTTTAAAAAAAAATCGAAATAAATATGAAATTTGTACACCCGGTATCTCCGAAACTAAGCATTTCAGAACATACATTGATAAGAACTTTTTTTAACTATTTTTATCTGCAGAATATGCTGACGAAGTTTCCGGAATACAGTTCGGACCACCCTGTATATCAGAACGATGATTCAATATACGTGTTTGTGAAATAGAGTAAAATTGTTTTCTCCTTATAATGTAGATATTTTTAAATAGTTGTCTTTGTTTACCATGAAACATTTGTTAAGTCAGTTTACAAGTAAACGGTTACTGGGAATTTTGTCCGTAAATACAAAATCCAATAGCATTTTATAATAAAAAGATACTTTAATTTTTAAATTTTCCCTACAAGTTACTACGTGATTTGAATTTAAATAGTAAAATTATATAGGTATATATTTATACCTGGTGGGTGGTACATCGTCGTTGGAAACAGGAAATCCCAGCAAATTTCGAACTGTTCAAATATTGGCTCCCCTATGAATGTTACAGCTAAGTCGTAAATAGGGTTTTTAAAGGACTCTCTATGATGAATACACAAGCCAAATTTGAACAATTTTGGAGAAGCCGAAGTAATTTGACAAAAACATCTATTTTTAAACTAAAACTGAACAGGTAAAAATGCAAAACTAGTCAGGTACAATGCAAAACCAAGCAACATATCTTAGGTTGTCAACCTATGATTTTAGCATTGTCAAATGTAGTTTATTGTGCTGTCTACAGGGTGTTTCAAAAAATATGTGCCATCCCTCGTGGGGAGATTCCTCACGTAAAAATAAGATTTATTTTTCATATCAACATAGGTCCGATTCTGCTTTGTAGCTACGACACAGTGTGTTAAAGTCTTAATAATCTTTCGATTTATTATAATTTTCTTCCAAGTACTTTTAGTGATTCGAATGAAATTTTGAGGGTATAAGTTAATGCAAGTGATGCCTATTTTCCTGCTAAAAAGTGTCAATAAATTCAATAGGGACGTGCATATGGATTCTTACTTGAATATTTTTGAAAAAAAAACATGTGCGCCACTGGCTTTTTTCTTTTGATATAAAAATTGTCTAGGCCGTTAACTTAACAATAACTTTTAATTGGCATTAAAAAGTTATATCTTGATATTTTGTCGAATTCGGCCTCCTCCATGAGATAAACGCAATTGCACAATTAATAAAATTAAATTAATAAATATACAGGGTGGTCCGAACTGTATTCCGGAAACTTTGGCAGCATATTTTGCAGATAAAAAGAAGTAAAAAAGTAAGTATATATATACTTTTACAACAAGAGAAAAAGATGTCAGTGGCCTACACGCTTTTTTTTAGAAAAGTACTCCGGTGATAACAAGGACAATAAAATATCCCTGGTGAATTTGTCGACACTTTTTTAGCATTATAACTACGATTTATTTGAAAACCGGTAAAGAAAAAATATGTTTGTTTTGTCGAGATTTTTTTTACCTAAAAAAGGTCTCTTGGTAAAAATCGCTATTAGTCATGGTTATCGATATATTTGGAATAGAAATTATCAATACCTGTTATCATTGACATAAATTCAACATGTTGACTAAATAGTTATTAAATCATAAATTTGAAATGTTTTTGTGCTAAAAGTTCATCAGAAACTGTTTTTTCCTCATTTTCTGCAGAAAAATTTATGATTAATTTAAAAAAATAAAAATTTCCCAAATTTACCATTTCTGTCAAATAACTATCTACTCAACGTGTTTATTTTTTGTCAATAATGGCATGTATAGACTATTTCCATTCTAAATATTGTGAGAGAGATTGCTCGTAGCGATTTTTACCAAGAGACTTTTTTTACGTAAAAAGCCACTGAAATGTATATTTTTGCACTCTGTAGTTTTATACAGGTACAGGCGAAAAGTTATTACTCGTCAAAACAGTTAAAGAACATTCAGGTGGCGCCTCCTACAAATAGGAGTCATATTGACATTAAAATCGGATTTCCCATGTTAAAAAACTACCAGACACCAATTTTTATCCAAATATTGACGTTACTTCAGAAATTATTTGGAAAACATCGAAATAAAAATGAAACTTCTACACCCTGTATCTTCGAAAGTAAGCATTTTAGGATGTATACGAACTTTTTTACTTATTTTTATCTATAGAATATATAGCCGAAGTTTCTGGAATACAGTTCGGACCACCCTGTATAATTTTTTAAATAATCAGACCGTGATTGAGTCGTGTCATAATCCATATTGTGAATCGACCTTAAGGCTTACTTCTTCGAAAATATTACCAAAAAGAAAGCTTTTGTAAGAACGTACCTCTGGCTTTTTGTAATAGTGTGATTGTCGGATTCTGTACCCTGGGCAAACGTGGAGTTGTGGAAAAGCTTCCAAATCCAGGGGACGATTGACTGGTCGGCAATCTTCTATCCAAGGTCGAGGACAAATTGATGGCTGTGTCACTGCTACCTTCAGGCAACCTCCAAGGTGGTTCGGATGATGATGAATCTGGCGTGGCTATATTCTATTAGAAATATATGTATTTTCTTAGTTTTTAAACATATCTGAAGTTTGATAGTCTAATATACAAATTTATTTATGTCGTTTGAAGGTCTCAATAGACACCTCTTTGTAGTATGATTGAAAAAGAAATTCACTTTTGCCGGAAACTATTTTGTTAACTTGAATATATGGTTATACTTATAAACATACACCATATCGGCATTCGAAGGTGGTTAAAGATTGTCTAGAGAAGCTAAACAAATTAGGCATAGATAATAAATTCCTCCTACTCTGGGTGCCAGCCCGCCAAGAGATAGAAGACAATAATAAAGCAAACAATCTAGCTAGAACACTCCACCAGAACTGTTCTGCTTCCCAAGTGGAAACCAACTTAAAGCGGAACACAAAAACCTGGAAGGCTCTATCGGTAAACCAGAATGGGAATCCTCCAACGGACTAAGATACTCGAAGAAATTTCTCAGAACTTATGACCGAGAAAAATCAAAGTCTTTCTTTGATTTATGTAAAATCAATCTTCGGAATATCACGGGATTTTTAACAGGACAGGTTTTTTTGACAGGTCTCCGTAAAGAAAACCTCAGTAAATTAAAGCTAAGAAACATTGGCGAATGTAGATGTGGGGAAAATAGGGAAACACCAGAACACCTCATCACTGAGTGTGCCGAGATGACAACCATCCGTGCCATGAACTTTTGACGACTGATATCGGAGGTGGAGAACTAACTCTGCAAAATTGTCTCAGATGCTGGCTTTTGTTAAAGCCCTGAGACTGTATGATGAGTGATAACTCATTAACTCAAGAAAGGGGGCCATAATAGATCTGTAAATTCACGGTGAATAACCCTTCCTCCAATACATTCTACATTCTACCATATCGGCAATACACCATAAGTCGGAGAGAGAAAAATGCTAGTGTTTGTTAAACACACACTTGATTATGCTATATTTCATGCGCTTGGGAGAAAATACGTGCTCTTCTTTCTTTATTTATTACATTTAACTGTATTGAGTGTATAGACTGTACTCTTCGTACACACGAAAATCCGCACCCAAAGCCTGATCCTGTTGATGATATTTAAATAATAACGTGAAAAATAATGTTAATTGGATTTTTCCAGTTTGATAGGGACAATATGGACAGTCGACAAATAATTTAAAATTTAAAATATATTTTATTAATTTTTCGACCTCCTACCTCCCCATTGGTAATTTATTTATATTCATTTCAAACAATTGGCCAAACTTAATTATAAAATATACATATAACAACTAAAAACATGTACTTCTTTTGCTCTAAAATTAACTGAAACTTGTTATATGCAACTGACGCAATTGTTTATTATAATAACAAATTTTGTTTTAAACTTCTAAATTTTGAAAATATGTAAAGAATATTTAACAGCATAGCATCTGCTTTTATATGTAAGTATACATTAAAAATATACAGATGTTATAAAAATAAATTATACTAATCGTTTAATAACATTTTATAAAATTTCCTGAATATATTTATTTAAAAAAAATTGAAATAATGTTTTTAAAAAATGTTATTTTTTGAACTAATACGTACAGAACAATAATTGTGGGTAACAACTCTACTCTATGATTGGCAAAGCTTTATGGCTGAGAAAATATTTAATTATTACTGGCATAAGAGTTCCAAAATGATAGACATTTTTCTAAAATCTATACGTCTTTGTTTTACGATTATTTTTCGAGTATGATTGATTATGGCAGGGAAATATTTTAGGTGCCACTTTAGTAGGTGTTTAAGAATGTAGCTTATGAACACGACACCAAAAAATGTTCCGAGGTTATGAGAAAATCAAGATTCAGATAAGCAAAGAAGAGTTCATATTTGTTTTTTACTAGAATCACAGGAAAACCACTTTATACCGATTGGTTTTCAACTACAATAATTATTTACCCATTTCTGGAGTAAGAACTGGAAACGACAAGCAAGTCGAAGCATAATGGAAGACACCTATCCTAACTGATGAGGAAATGCAAAGTTCGAGGAAATAAAAAAATAAACTAAGAGGAAGACTATGGATATATTTTCCGAAAAATTGACCGAACTTGCCACAACCTCTGCAACTCTTTACAAACCAAAGGTAAAAAAATGTCCAAAATCTATGGGAACAATATTGTAAAACAGAAAATCCTCCTGACAAACCAATGGTGTCAGTATTTTCATCAATTCTCAAATGCCAAAAAGAATATGGCGACTAAAGGACCACCAAGATAACTAATAATTTATATAATCCGTTTGATGCTGATGAGATGCAATAGAAGAAGGAAAATGAAATTTACATTAGATAAGGCAACTTGAGAGAGTTTATTCTGTTAAAAATCTGCTGGAGGGCAATGGTAATGCAACTCTTATAAAGTATACCCCAAAATAGGATCATTAATTAACGAACAGATACTTTTAAGAGTTACGAAAGATATATTGAATATATGAATCTGGTGTTATCAGATATTTTATAATTCAATAATACCGGCATAATTAATTAAAACTTTATCTTAATTCTTTATCTTAATTAATTATATTTTAAGGTCGCCATGAAAACCAGGAAAAAAGACGTGATTTAAATTTACCGTTTCTCGGTTACGTAAAAAAATTAATAATGGTTTAATCACCTACATCGGACAATACTTGAACAAACAGCCCAATCATTCTAAATTCTAATGCAAGAAAATAATGTAGTATTCGGAATTTAAATGTACTCAAACTCGAAGTAAAGGGCATTCCAATAAGAGGTTTCGGATGTTGATACAGTGCACAATTATACGTGGAACACAATATCTGCCAAATGGCCATCACTACTTCTCTGAAAGCACACAATTCAAACCTAACTGAACATATTTCTGGAGTTATGTCACGAATTATTCGCCTAAATTTCTTCTTTCAATTGTTGAATGTTTTGCGGATTGTTTTCGTTAGTTTTCCTTTTCACATAGTCCCACAAAAAATAATCTAACATCCGAAACCTCTTATTTAAATACCCTTTAGAACTAGTAATGAGCGAGACTGTTTTTTTCTTCAAAAAGTTTTATTTGCATTAAATTACTTCAAATACTATTTATTTCAAGATCTTCTTTGTAGAAAGTGCCTTAAGTCCATCAAAAAAGTACAAAGACTTGTAAAAGTCTTGTAGGAAGACAAAGATCATGTCTTGTATTTGCATACTTGCATTTGCTCATCACTAAATAGAACAGAAGGATCGCTGTCAAATTTACGGAACGGATTATTGCTGAGAACAATACATTAATGTATTAGGATCTTTCTTCATTTCAGTTTCATGTGTGAATTCTGATCGCCTTCAAATCACCGCACCAGAAGACACACTAAAAAAAATGACAAAAACTATACCGCAATGATCCAGTTGAACGAAGAACTGAATTCGTTTTTTTATATGTTTGTTTATGTTTAAATATTTTTATTTGTTTTTAGCATACTTCATTAAATAAAACTTTTTGATCACGCTGTACTCACGTCCGATTGCGTTCTGCTTTTCCTACTCAACACCGGAGATTGAAAATTGACGGGCCTGAATTCTTTCCTGTCGGCCGTTGGACTAGAAGTGGCACTTTTTGGTGTCCATACCGGCGACACCGGTTCATCCCTTTGGTTGTGGAAGGTTTGCGAGTCGGTCCTGAGGATGCCTTTCAGAGGGGGCGTAGGGGGATAACGGGATTGGCCCGGTGACCAGATACCTAGAGAAAAACCTTTGGTTAGCTAAGAAAATGGTAAACTGCAAAGGTACGTGGATGTATAGTTATTTACTGTAGCGTATTTTTAGCGGCTATTTTCGTTCACAACCATAAAAAATTGAGTTAAAATATCAAAACAATTATTTGTAATTTTATATCGCCACCAAAACAAATAATTTATAAATGAAAATATGTGTTTTATGTATGGAGGATAGAGGTAAGGAGAAATATCTTCGTGTATTGAAAAGAGGTCGTAAAAGAGGGAAGACTTAAGATGGCGCTGTTGCAGCAAAACTTCTACATTTGAAAGAAGCGCCAAATATTTTTAGAACAGGAATTAAAAAGAGATAGATAAATATGCGATTTCTGAAGGCTGGTGTTGCCTCTCTTTTTGACTAACTTCACTTTATTTATAACCGCTAACTTCAGTTCGCTCCTTTATTGCTTGTTAGCGCCACTTTGGTAATTTAGTGAACCCTTATTCTTCCCATTTTGGTGACCATTTTTTCATGAATCTCCTTACCTCTTCTACCTCCTATAGTTTTATGTAAAAGGTTACTATGTTAGGAAAAAAATATAAATTTCTCTGGTTGGCTTGAATAAGGAACACTTGAATAGTTATATTTCGCATATTTTTAATTTTAATACCCTGTTCTGCAGGAAACTTGCTAACCCTTTATTATCCATGTATAATTTTTATGATAATACCATTTAAAGTATTGATACGTTACTGCAAAATATCACAACAAGCACAAATAATTTTAACACATATTTTATTTTTATACTGTAGAATATTTAATATAAATACTATATCAAATAAAAAATATTTTTTCAGAAGAATGTTATTTACGTATGTATATTAAATATTTTCATACATGAATGATGCCTAGAAAGATAATGAATTATTTTCTAAACATAAAATTTTTAAGGGTAAATAATTATTTTTAAATGTATTCGATATATCATGCTAAAATTTAGGCAAAACACGTTCATGCAGTCTGATTGTTAATAATGTATGTTACGGTTAAGGTTCGAAATTAAGTTAATCTCAATATTACCCGGTTAATCTCGAGAATAACATAAAACAAAACAACCAAAGACAAAACCAGACCCAAACATTAACATGTTATTGTCGACATTAATTGATATTGCCTTCATTTCGGAGTTTAACGGTAACAATAATATTATAAAAATAAAAAACTTACTAATAAAACAATAATAATGCTAGAATACTAAATTCTTAAACCAACTATAACACCTGGGCATTAAAATCCATGTAACAGAACATTATAGGCTATAACGTCCTCTTTCAAAAGGTTTCGGTAAACAAGTATGTACCTAGTAACACCTTTGCAATACAACGCATAGGTTGCTTTCAAACGTTATATGTTGCGTTAAATAAAATGTTATCCAAAAATAATAAAATAATGATTAAAAAAATACATATTACATCTTTGTATGCACTACAGGCGTCAAAGCTCCCAAATTTTTTATCCTTCGGGCCAACTGTCGGAATATTGTTACACTCCAGACATGATTATATTGTGCCCTTGGTGTATAATCATCTATTATATCATAGTTTTCTTATCGGATATTAGATAGTTACCTCAGATGCTCAAAGAAGATGCTTCTTTTAAGCATTACAATGTTCATCATTGGCTTTATAACGAAAAGGCGTATCTATATCGTTTTTTGGCAATTTTGAGATATCAACTTTATAATATGCCCAATGGGATATTTTTTAGTGTTGAAAATTGGCGTATCTCAATAATATTATACCTTATTCATTTTATGTTCATTTAAAAATTTGCCTTATAATAAATTGCTAAATATTAGAATTATTAAATTGCTCTCCTCAAAAGTGCAAAAATCGATAAACGCATTTTTGTCATAAAGCAGACGATATGATATGTATGTCAAATATGTATTATGATTTAAATATATACGAATATGATCGAAAAAAACCGGCGTCCAGTTGGCTTGGAAATGAACATCGATGCTATTCCCCATATAATTTTACATATAAAATAACAGCGATCTTCATTTCATAGCCATCGCTGACGCTGTTTTTTCGATCATACGATATTTTGATTGTACATGTACATAGTGTCTAGGGTTCACTTAATTTGAGTTGTTTGTCGCTTTATTAGTGAAGCAAGAATTAGAAAAGAAACTACATCTTGTGAAACGAAATTTGCCGTAAGCAAAATTGTCAAAGCCTCCTTAATTTTAATGATACAAGGTAATTTCGAAAATGTTGCAATTTGAAATAGGCAGTCTTTGTATCTCAGATATCTAACAACTTATTGAATAAGGTATAAACGGATTCTTATAGAACTTTATTCGAAAACCTCAGCAGGGTATATATTTTTTTCATAATATTTAACTTCTTGAAATGTGATCACAACTTAATTTTTTATTGGGTACATTGTATACCGGGTGCGTCTCAAAAGTGGCTCACCCCTATAACTTTTTTATTTTTTCAGTTAAAAAAAACGAGATTTGGTATGTTAGTATATGATATAAACTGGGATTGATTGACGCATTCAATTGTTTTCGGTCACTTCCTGTTTCACCGGAAACGACTACAACTTTTGATTTTTAAATGGCACCCTCGATATTTTTTTACTTTATTCGATAGAAAATAACACTCTGAAAAGAATGACATATCATATGTCAACTTTTGACATTTTCGCATATGGGTTATTTGAAATTTTAACTTGCGGTTCGTAACGAAAAGTTGACTCGAAATACCATCATATCATATTATTCGTAAAAAAATGCTTTTTCCAAATATGCTAATGAGCCACCCTCGTTCCATTTGAAAAAATTAAGATATGATTAAAAATACGATTTGAGCATTTTCTAACTGGCCAGCACAAGACACTAAAACCATTAGACGATCAAATCTATTTTTCCAAGGATCAAATCTATTTTTCCATTAAGAATTAGTGTTTTTAACATAGCCGTGGCACTCTAGATTGAATTTTAAAATACGATTTTTTATTAAGCGAGAATGTCAAAAATTGATATATGATATGTCATTCTACTCAGAATGTCATTTTCTATCGAAAAAAATTAAAAAATACCGAGGGTGCTATTTAAAAATCAAAAGTTGTAGTCATTTCCGGTGAAACAGGAAGTGACCGAAAACAATTGAATGCGTCAATCAATCCTAATTTATGTCATATACTAACACACCAAATCTCGTTTTTTTATCTGAAAAGATAAAAAAGTTATAGGGGTGAGCCACATTTGAGACGCATCCGGTATTTGTTAAGAAATCTGTTATTTTGATAAGCAACCACAATTACATAATTACAATTACAATTATCATTATAATATACATAATAATATACACATATATAAAAACATAAAAAATTAAGAGTTGTGTAGTAACATTGCTGCACCTTTTCGTTTTATCCGAAGAAGATAGGATAAGTTCTCAAAATTTGATTTACTTCGTGTCATTATTTTTATGGTTTGTTAATGTATTTTTTTATTTTAGTTTGTTTATTTGTACTTTGTTTTGTTATTACTCTTTGTTGTCTTCACGGATTATTCAGAGGTAGGTACATTTTCTTCATTCAACCGATGAATATCGGTTATCGAATGGGACACAACAGATGCTAACATGGTGTGTTACGCTGATAATGCAGCCATTATCGCGGAGACAGAGGACGATATGCAGAGACAGCTTCATAAATTCTATCGGGTAAGCCGTGAATTAAACATGATTATCTCCACAGAAAAAACTAAATGCTTAACTTTCTCTAAAGAGCCGGTAAGATGCAAACTGGTATAGTAGAAAACAAAATTATTGAGCAGGTATCACAGTTCAGATACCCAGGAATAGATATGTCGCACTACCATGATCCAGAGAAAGATATAATAAGCCAGATAAACAGAGCATGTCAGGATGTCTGGGATAAATAGTGTGGACAAACCCCTTTATGCGAACAGACAGCAAAATTAAAATTTATAAGACCTGAATCAGACCAATAATGACAAATGGCATAGAAATCCGAGAGGAAACAAACAAGACCAAAAGCATGTTAAGAGTCACTGAAATGAAGAACTTAAGAACCATAATGGGGAAGACTAGAAGAGACAGAGTTAGAAACACAAATATTAGACAAAAATGTGGAATATAGGACGTAGTGAGATGGGGTAGGCAAAGAAAAAGACAATGGTTCGCACACGTAAAATGCATGAAAGAAAACAGGCTACTACGCATAGTCCTTGAAGGGAAACTCAGGGGTAAGAGACAGCCGGGAAGACCTCCAAAAAGATGGAAAGACAGTTGGCAGTCTACCTCGCAAGAACTCCTACAGAGGCAACCTTAAAATTAACAGATAGAAAGATCTCAAATAAGTAAAAGAAGAAAAAGAGAGACATTTTCTGATTACAGTAGAAAATCGATCATCTGATCATACTTTGAAATGTAACGTTGTTTTACTCAGTCATAAAAACGCTGGGACAGCATAATAAATATATGTATTTTACCCTATTCCTTAAAGGGCAATAGAGGCAATAAATTAAAAAGCTTAGCAATTAATCATTTGGGAATTTCCATTAACAAAATTCGCGGAATTTCAGGAGCGTCCCAACAACCATATATTTCTTATTATTTAATATTATTTCACTTCAGAACCAAAAATTTATAATATTAGCAACGTGGAAACATATCTAATTGGTTTGCACAATTTTTTATATACAAGGTGTTCGATTCGAATATGCAAATATTAAATATAATTTGAGAACCATTATACACATATAAAAAATAAAGAATATAGAAATTCTGTGAATGATACTTTCTCAAATGAAATAAAATGAACGAACCTAATAAAATCTAATAGCAGTAACTTAATTAATATATAAGAAAAGGCGATTTGTTTAATTATACCTAATTCTCAGTGCTTTTAGTTTTATTACCAATTAGATTTATTACCTTTTTTTGAAACGATATTCGATTGATCTTATGTCAAATCAAGAAAACAATA